TCCAGCTTTTTACCGTCCTCAGGCATATGCGTTCCGCTTGCGATGCAGAGAACACGCATACGTGGGTCGTAGCGCAATCCTGTGAGAAGCTTGGGTGTGATGAGGAAGTATTGTGATGTGTGCTCGCGACACGCAATCTCGACCATGCGCTCGTGTATCATGCGCTCATTGCGAGGGTCCATACCCTGGTTGATTTCATCCACAACACGGAATGGAGACTGCGCCATGGACTGGAGGGCCATGAGGTAGAAAATAGTAGACACGGCACGCTCTCCTCCGGATTGACGATGCTGGTTGAGCTGTTGGAGTGTCTCGTTTTCTCTGCTTGCTGTCAGCTGCTCCGTTATATTTCAACGCGGGTTAAAACATACCTGAACTTGACCATGATATCCAAGGCCCACTGATCAAAGTCCTCATCTTTATGAACCCGAACCTCGCCGGCGCAGTTGATTTGCTCAAAGTTGTAGCTGAACGCGTCGTTGATCTTGCTGATAAGTTCGTCAAGCTTTGGCTCCCACTTGTCGCGGATCCGCGATATCCTGCGGTTCAGCTCATCCAGCTTGTTCGTCGAGCTCTCCATTCTCTGGCGCAGCTTCTCAATTTCTCGAGCGCGCTTCTCAAATTCGCGCAGGGCGCCGGGGTTGGTGACATGTATGAGCTCGAGTTTGCCTTCTTCAGCGGCGATCTCGTTGTCGACGTCCTCGACAGTTTTTTCCTTGGCCAGCTCTTCAAGGAGCTCTCTCCTGCTTGGGTCGTCATGGAATAAGTCAGCCACTTTGCTTCTGGCTGCCTCAGCGCGGGCTCTGCATCGCGCAGATTCTTCTGCGATGGCACCGATATGTCGCTTCTCATCTTCAAGTTGCTGCATCAGGTCGGTGTTCCTAGCCTTGAGACCCGTAACATCAGACTTGGCCTCGATCTCACGAATCTGAGCCTCAAGCACTTCCTCCTGGGCATCCCGAATCGCGGCGATTGCCGCATGATGGCGGAGGACAGCTTTGAGCTTTTCCACTGTAGCGTTGTCTCTGTCGACATCCAGCTTGGAACTGGCTGATCTCGCCTCTTCGACCTCTGCCCTCTTCTGTTCCAGTGACTTCTTTTCAGACTCTGCAAATATGCGTCAGTGGTGGAAACTACTTAGTACCATGTAGGCTCCTTACCAAGTTTGATGGGAATAGCTTGGTAGGCATTGTGTGCTTTCTGCAGTTCGTTCTTTCGATCTCTGAGTAATTTCTGGCGCCTTGTTAACTTTTGCTCCGTAGATCTCCTTCATTAGACTTACGAGATCTTCCTGTGTCTCCTTCTTCCTCCCGTTTATCGCGGTAAGCTGTTCCTTGAGTTCCGTGTTCTGCGTCTTCAGCTCCCCGAACTCCGCCTCGACTTCCCTCAGGCGGCGCAGGATGTCATTCTTCTCTGCCTCATCAATAGGTTGATCCGTCCAGAACACGCCTTTGGAGATGCCTCGGGTCATTGTGGAGACCGCCTGGGGGCCAAGATCCCTGCGCCGAGACACTCTGTATAGATGCCGGCCAGCTGACCAACTGTTGATAACAGCATCTTGAACCAGACGCTCGTACTGAGCATCGCTGATTTCTCCCGCTGCAATGCCAGATACGTCCAACTTCTTTTCATTACAAAGCATCGCAAGAACTGGCTCCGGACCCGACAGCATCTCGATTGCGAAACCATCGAAACCGAAAGATCTGACCTGTTCCCGTGACATCCTAGGTTTAAAGTCATCCAGGGGCTTCAAGATGGAGCGTGTGTTGACGGAGAGACTGAGTTGCTTGTAGAAGACATCACTCAGCTTCTTGTGGTCCTCTCTGGTTTGCGCGGTGAAACAAAGGAAGTCGTCCATGTGCAGCAGTGCCTGGACCTGGTCCGAATACCGCTCATCTTTGACGGAGCAGCACAAAGCAGGTGGTCCAAAGACTTCTTTTTCAAACTGATCGCCGTTCTCTTGCAGCCAGGCCCAGCCCTTGGCAACATCGGGGAACTTCTTCTGCAGAAAGTTGAGAAGCTGCCCCTGCTGGGAATCGAGATTCTCGAGATCTTGTTTGAGCTTGTTTCTGATGTGGCTCTTTGCTTGGCCCTGTTCTTTGATATCTCTCAGTTTTCCGTCGATTTGACGCGTCTCGGCCTCCATTTCGCGAAGCTGATGCTCTTTTTCCCGCTACGTTCAAGTTAGCTTCAGCCTCCAGGATCATGATTCAGGACCAGGATTGAACGTACAATTTGGGTGTTGTGTTCTTGAGGGTTGAACTCCGCGGGCTTGTTCTTCTGCAGGTTTTCCAGTACACCAATCCTGTTACGAATCTTGCCCAGTTCCTGCCTCTTGGCATCATATCCACGCTTGTTGGTCTCCAAATTGGCGGTGATTGATCTTATTTGCTCATCGGCGTCCTCGACTCGATTGAGCAATGTGTCTGCCTCAGCTTCTGCACGCCGTACCAGACCCTTGCGGGAATGAACGGCTGCGGAGACCTTCTCGAGGTAAACCTGCTTCTGATTCACAGCTTGCAGAGACGGAGCTGCCTCGTCTTCCAACCTTCTCAAATTCCTCTTCGCCTCTTTTTCCTCGGCTTTCTTCGTTTGGTAAAGTGACCTTGCCTCGAGGTAGTCGGCAACATGCCGGGCGTCTTTCAGGTCGGCAATGCGCTGTTGGGCCTCCTGCTGCTCGCGGAGCTTGTCAACATCGTTTTGCATATCATGCTGTCTGTCCTCGATACTTTTGAGGTGCTCAGCGTAATTTGCCGAGCCGCGCTGGATTTCCTTGTGTTCTTTGTGCAGCTCCTGCAGTTGTTTCTGCCAGTCGAGCATTTCCTCTGGCGCCGCCGCGCGCAGAGTCTCGTGTAGCAAGTCAACGGGGGTGGCAGATGCGAATTCGACAACGCGATCCTGAGGGAGAAACTGGCAGAGGTTGTCGACCTGGATCTTAAGGTCCCTCATAAGATGCTGGATGGTCTTATGTGTGGCTTCTTTGCCATTCAGCCACCACTTCTGGCTGTTCCTCTCGCGATCGATCTGAACTTTGATAACAGGGTTTCGTCTATCCTCCGGTCGACCTTGTAGCTCGATCTCTATGGTGGCCGACGACTTTCCGTGCTTGACGAACTCCTTGACGTTGCCAGCTCTGCCAAGATGTTTTGGACTGAATCCCAGACCCAAGCAGATGGCGCAGACGAGCGAGCTCTTTCCCGTTCCGTTCGGTCCAATGACCATGTTGAGATTCGGGCCAGGGAAAAACTCTGCCATCTCGTACGTCACGAAGTTCTTGACTGTAACGCGGCGAATAGCGCCAGCCTGAAATCCATCCAAGTCATGCTGGACCTTGACACCGTTGACGCCGTTCGTTCTGGGTCTGCTCTGCACACCTCCATCGTCATCGTCGGAATCGTCAGCACGCCGGCTGAGGCGGGGGCGTTTGGGTGCATCGGAGGCATCGGACGCAGAGTCGCTCTCGTCTTCCGGTTCGCGACGGCGGCGACGGCTCGCCGGGAAGGACGACATCACGACGGGGTCGACGGGGTCGATTGTAACTTCGAGGTCACAGCCAGTTTTTCGCGTGGTTCAGATCGGAGTGGTGACAGATGTGGAAGGCGTGGTCGATTTGGGCATAATTTTGGCAGGTAGCGCGCAATGAGGCAGTTGGTGAAGTTGAGTGCGACGCGAGACCTAATTCAGACGCGTCTCTGTCCACCCCGCGTGCCCCTTGCAAGCCTCAAGGGTGCGCCAAGTTTGATGGAGGGTATCCCGGCGGATTATGTAAGTGAGATCGGAGTCAGTGCGGCGTGCAGATGCTGAGTTGAGATGCAGCTGTGCGTCAACCGAAGTGGGGGCTGCTACGGAGCTCTGGTGGGGCTAATGCCGCACGGATTTTGGTCGGATGTGGCTTGGGGAAGGCAGTTTGGCCCAACTGCAACTGCGACTTCATCCCTCGCGAGTCGACCGTTGATCTGTCATCCGATGTGTTTGACTTTGCCCTGTCCCTCAATCTCTACCAAGAGCGCCCTTGTGATGTCTCTGCCTCGTAGTCTTGCTGACCAAGTGGCTCATCATGTCTTTCTCGGACTTTATAATAAGGCACCTCAGCCCTTGACAGGCGAAGAAAGAGCTGCCCACCGTCTTAATGAGAAAGGAAGGCTGAGTCGACGATGGCTGCCAGGAATTCACTAATCAACACAGTCTGCCCCTCTTTCTACCTCATTCTTTCTCCATCTGTCGTAGAAAAAAAATCTTCAAGGACCGCGCTATCCGCGCTCGGGCAGGCAAGATAAGGTCAGAAGCAGCCGCAGTGACGTCGAGGTCATCCTCCACCTCATGCCTGGGGAATTTCGGACCAAGGTCACGTATCACCCAACTGGCTCGCTCTTTCCACCAGGTCAGAAGTCAGCCCGGATCAGGCTGTTGGCTGCATTCTAGAGCTTGGACCTCATTCCAGACGGTCTTGCCTGTCGAGTCGTGAAACCCAGTGAGACCTCTGCCGTTGGCTGTACTTGTGCTTTCAACGGGGTCGCTCGTGGGAAGGGGGCAACGTTCGTCCATCAACCTCCCTTCGAACCTTCTATTTCCGCCGGCCGATTGCTTCAACTTCCTCGCTTGCCCCGGCACCAAGGCGGTCCACCTGCATTCCAATCTACACAACACTGGACTCGCCTCAGCTTGTCCTGCGCGTCCCAGTCGTCACTCGTCCCCGAGATTTCGCGCTGCCTCTCCTTTTTCCATCTTCACTACCAAAATCCCAACTCATCCACACCCTCACTGTATCGTCTGGCTTTTTTTTGGCAACCAGTCTATCAAATCCATCCATTCGTTCAGGTCTCTGGTCTTCATCCTCTCCTTCCTCTCCCTCACTCGTTTTACTTGACCGAGACTTTTTTTATCTTCCAATCTCTCTACCCTCCCTTGTTCAACACCTTACAACCAGAAGGGGCAAAAAAAAAAAGACCAATTGGGGCCGACAACCGACAATGTTCTGATCGCAAAACTAATTCGCCATCATGTCGGAGACTGGCCGCGGAAGGGCTTCCAATGCCCGGCCGCCCCTCGCAGATGCTACCCAGCGCGTCAACAACACTTCATCCAAAGTCCCCGTCGTCAAATCATCAAAGTCACGCGATAAATCTTCGAGCAGAGCCCATCACAACATCACATCCGATGAGCTCCCCATAACCCATGCGCGAGCAGCAGCTTCCGCCGCCAGCTCTCGTAACCCTGTGGCAAGAGCGAGAGCGTCGCAAGACACCGACCCAACGAAGCGACACTCGCAGGTATCGCAGGCCTCTACCGCTGCTTCTAGCAAACGAAGCAGCGGCTACTCTTACAAGACACACATCGGACCATGGCTACTCGGCAAGACCCTTGGAAAGGGTTCTTCGGCTCGTGTGAGGCTTTGCAAGCACCGCATTTCTGGCGAATTGGCCGCCGTCAAGATTGTTCCCAAGAAAACCGCCTACCTGATTCAGGCCGGTAGCCTCGCAGAGCTACACGACTATGACGACAGTCTGCCTGAGAGAATCAATGGCGAGATGCGCGTGCCCTTGTCCATCGAGCGCGAAGTGGCCATCTTGAAGCTGGTCGACCACCCCAACGTTATGAAGGTGTATGATATCTGGGAGAATCGCTCAGAAATGTTTGTCTTCCATGTTCTTGTCGCTCAATATGTAAGACTAATGATGTTTTAGTTATCTGGTACTCGAGTATGTCGAACAGGGTGACTTATTCGACTACATCAATACCCATGGTCGCTTCTCGGAGGAAGGCGCCATGTTCGTTTTTCGGCAGATGATGAGCGCACTGCAATACTGTCATTCCTTCAACATTTGTCATCGTGACCTCAAGCCCGAGAACATCCTCTTGACGGCCGACAACAAGGTTAAGATTGCCGACTTTGGCATGGCTGCCCTGCATCAATCCGCGGATCATCGCCTGGTTACTGCCTGTGGAAGTCCTCACTATGCTGCCCCGGAACTTCTGAAGCACAAGCATTATCGAGGAGACAAGGCCGATATTTGGTCCTTGGGGATCATTCTCTATGCCTTGCTGGCTGCATGTCTTCCATTCGACGACCCGGACATCGGAGCTCTGTTACAGAAAACCAAGAGGGGAACATACGAGATTCCAGAGTTCTTGAGTCCGGAGGCCAAGGATCTCATTCGGCGTATGCTCATCGCCAATCCTGACACAAGAATCTCCATCAAGGACATGTGGCAGCATCCTCTGATCCGTAAATATGACTACCTCGACAACCTCAGCACCAACGGACAATCAACGGACCTCCGGAAGAGCTTCCACTACACCCCGTTGAAGCCCCACGAAGTTGACCCCCACCTGGTCAGACAACTTCGGTCCATGTGGCACATGCTCACAGAACACCAGATCAAGTTGAAGCTTATGGATTCCGCGTATGCCATCCCATCACTCATCTCGTCTGAACATTGAACTGACTTCCCTTAGGAAAAATGACCAAAAGCTTTTCTATTGGCTCCTGTATGATTATCGGAAGAAGCAACTGGAGAACTTTCTTCCAGAACTCACCCAATCTCCGAGCGATTACCATCATCTTCATGAGCCTGTCTGGAAGAAGAGGGTGTCGACGGTCGAGTTCAATCAGCCTCGTGCAGACGGCACTGGCAGAAGTGTTTCTCGTTTCACCGTCATCTCTCATGTCGCAGAGACAGATGACGGAACGGTTCAAAGCTATGATCCCTACAACTCTAGCAAACCGATGCGTGGCCACTCTCAGGCCAGTCATGCCAAGATTGTAGTACACCGCACTCGTCGTGGATCTATGAAACGAGAGAACACCCACACAAGCCAGCTGTCGCGCATTAAAACTGGCTCAACGGTTCGTCATTCTCGCGTCAACTCTCAGCGTACGGTTGCCTCTCGCTTCCAATCTCCTCGCAACTCCATGAATTCCCTGCACAGCAGCAGACAGGGAACGCCTTACGCACGGCCAGCTTCTCGCCACAAGCGCGGTATCGACTTTTCTCACATAAGAAGAAAGTCCAACGAGCACGGCGAAAAGCGGCGTCGAGGAACTCCCCTCACGATTCCCACCGAGGGCGAGGTGAGGGCCAAGTCTCCAACGAGTCCCGTCAGTCCCGTCAGTCCCGTGAGCCCCCCGAAGCAGGTTTCGGTCATGGACAGGCCCAGACCGAAGCTGAAGATTGTTAAACCTCGGGATCCTGTTCACGTGGTCAACGAAGAAGTGCGAAACTTCAGTCACAGCATTGCCAAAGACTGCGACGAAATCTTCGGGAACTCGATGATCGCCGACGAACCTAGCGAGTTAGGTACGGACGATGGTTCAGATGGAAAGCGAGACTCCAGACTTTCGTTCACCATTCCGACTCCAACATCCGCGCAAGCGAATACTCCCTTCCATCCGTGGGATACGCGCCCTCTGCCCCCTCTGCCTCCTCCCAAGAAGCAAGCTCCGCCTATACCTGTGACGGCGAAGACCGAAAAGGTTAATGATAAGACGAGAGATGGACATCAGACTGGCCGAGTCGGAAAGTTTGTCGATCAAGTCAACCGCCTGGGCTTTCCCTCTTTGATGGCCAAGCAGGACCGGCGTACTGTTTCTGCACCTCCACCCAGTCAAAACGGCATGACATCTGCCCGTCTTCCAGCAATCAATGAGAATGGACGAGAGTCGGAGTCTTCATACTATCCAGGGGACAATGACAGAAACCGCATCGTCTCTGCCCCGCCTAAGACCCCAAGTGGCCGGGCCAACGCAGATGGGTTGGAGTATCTTGTCGGACGAGGCGACACGATACGGGTGGTCAACTCTCCTAGTGCGACGAGCCCCGTTCCCAAGCCGCTCAACGTGCGGAAGAAGACGGCCGACCGCCCAGCTCAAGGTGACCCAGTTGACGAGCGATGTGTATACATGCACGGAGCTTCCGGCACAGACGAGCCGCCAACGCCATCGACGGGAACTTACAGCAGCGGGCCCGGCAAGCAGAAGAAGTCATTGTGGTTCAAGCGATCCTCGAAGGACAGCACCTCCCAAGAGGGCAGTATCCATACTGTTGCGACCCAAGAGACACAGGCGTACAGCATGACAAGCCAGTCCACCGACCCTGCTCGATCAGAGATCCAGCCTCATGTTGTACCCCCACCGGTGCCGGCAAAGAAGAAAGGTTTTGGTCTTCTATTTTGGAAGAGCAACAAGGGTAAATCAGAGAACACGATGGCCATTGCAGGTAATGTTTTTGCTCCAGTTGACTTTATTTTACTGACACAGCTGTTTTTGTAGGCCCGGAATATGACGATTCTCACTCTCCTGAGCCCACCCGAGGTATTGGACACAAGCCGAGCCGAAATTCCGCTAGAAGCTGGAATGGCTCTGAGAGCGGGGTGCGCAACATTGAGGTGCAGCAGAATTGGCTGGCTCGGCTTTTTGGTGTGAAGCCCGCCACGAGCTACGTGTGCCTGGCCATATCGCGCAAGCGAGCTCGCCAAGAAATTGCGATTCTCCTTAAAGACTGGCGACGTTATGGTATGAGAGATATCCAGGTCGACAAGGAGAGAAACATTGTGTTCGCCCGCGTAGGGGCTAAGAATTGTAAGTCCAACAGTCGACCCGAGACGCTATCATGGCTGACAAGGAGTAGACTTAAGCATCAAGGAGGTTGCATTTGCCGCGGAGATTATGACAGTGATTGAGCATGGAAAGAAAGGACACCTATGCATTGTACGATTTACACAAGAGCGTGGAGCGGCCAGCAGTTTCCACCGAGTGGTGGACACGGTCCGAACGGTTTTCGGATCGCGATCGCTGCTTGTTGCCGACAAACGCAAGGAGAAGATGATGATCAAGACACTCAATTCCTGAGAGTGGACGACATTGCATTTTGGCGTCAGAGAAACGGAGGCGACATTCTTTCATGGCCGGTTTGGGCGGGTTGCTTGATCATCGGGCAGCGATGATGCCCGGAGTTTCTACTTTTCTTTCATTTTCACGTTGGGACATACGTCCAGATCCAGGAATGGCCAGGACTTCATATGGGCGGCAAGGGCTTGATTCACCAGAGCATGAGGATTGCGGCTCGACAGAGATTTCAGGTTGGTTTGGCAGGAGGAAGGTAATGGTGTTGGATGACTTGCCCAGTGGTATACAGCTGTGGCTTGTATACACAGAAGTTTGGAGGATTGGGTGATTGGAGACCGCCTTGCCAAGGGCGGTAATGGTTACTCAGATTCCTTGTACGGTTGGCAGACCACAGTCCATAGATTCGAGCTGCACATCAAAAGTTGATTGTGACGATAGAAGCCTTGGACTCAAAGCACAGTGATATGTCCAGGAGTCGAGTCAGTAGGATGAAGCTACAAAACGCACTTACAATCGATGCCGGAAAGGCCCGGAAACAGTCGGCTTTGGTGGGGAAGCTGATTGGGCCTAGGGGAAGCTGGGGTATCGAGAGCAAACCTCGGCATCTCGGTGAATCGGATCGACATAGCTCTGTGGCAGAGCTCGGATGTTCTTGACTCTGCGTCACGAGCATACAGATGGTGGGGAAGTTGGAATGGACTCGTGGTTCAGTGGTGGTGTGAAATATGGTAATTATCATAGCATCGCGGTTGATGCTGAATTGACGGCCAAGGTAGGAATTCCACAGCTGCACCCCAGCAGAAGAGCTTCAATTGCGGGCCGTGGCCGTGGCTCCAATTTGGGCGCCGGCGACATGTGCCTGTCCTTATCGCGGCGGATCCGACTTCGGCCCTGACCTGGGGCAAAAAAGTCTCCAGGACCCTGGATTTATATGAAGACGCAAGCCTCAACAGGAAAATATTTTTCAGAGTTGCTCGATAGGATCGAGTAACAGAATTGAAGCAGCCAAAGATGCTCGAGTCAGGACATCAGTGCACACTCACGATGCATGCTCCCGAATCAAAGACTGAATTATTAATGAAGGGTTTCTTTCACAGAAGGTCTTATCGGTGTTTGACCCCACTCCTCCGTCTGCCCGTCCAGTGGAGGTGTCAGAAGAAGGATGAGGTCACTGTTGCTCGGCCAGTGGTCAATCCCTGCCCAGTTCTGATTTTGGTTTTGCCATTTCGCTGCAGCGGAATGCACCGACGCTTTGGAGAAGAAGGCAGAGCACCTCCGCAGGAGGAAGGATGGGATAAGGTACATTCCACTGGGCGAGGCGGGCAAGCACATGCAAAGTCACAGACTGGCATCTTGTCTGCAGTTCGGCTCTGCGGTTTCACACCTTTCCCTTTTCCCCACACTTTCACAAGCGTCACTCCAGGCGCGTCTTTGATGAACCCTCCGTGCTTCATGGATGGCTGTCCAACACCACAAGGCGCATGGACGTCTCCTCCTCTTCTCCCCGCGGTCCGGCTCTGAAGCTCTCCATCCACCCGAACCAGCCCGATCACTGCCGACCAAGGTTGGATGCTGGCTGCTCGTCCCTAGGCACTCTACCGTCGAGCAGGGCGGACGCTATTGGACGGGTACCTTGAATGGAAGGTCATGATACATCCCCCGCCGGCGTCCATGGGGTCCGTTTGCGTGTACCTCAAGTGGAGCCGGTGAGGTTCCTGGGGTCTTTGCGTCTTGCCTCTTCTGCTCCTCGCATGCATCATTCCCAGGCCGGGGGGGGGGGGGGCATGTCATGGATGGGAGATGGGCGCCGGCCAACCCCTCGCTCGAGGCGACTGTGCCGAGCTTGCGACAGCGGCACTCGTTCCTCGAACCAGACCCGTCCAAAAGCTCTCGACTACCACAATTACATACCATTTTCTCGTCATCTGTAGCCGGCAAACTTCCGTCCTGTCGCCTACTTCTTCCAGAACGTCAACCCTTTTCTTCCTTTCCCAACCCTTTTGTGATCAATTGTTCTTCAACTTCGACCTCTAAAGATACCCCTCCATACAAACGCTTACCACAACTGTCGTCCTGTCTCACAATTTAGCTGCGCATTCTTCTAACACGTGAAACCCGTACCTACCAGCCAGCCATCCGACCACAACCGACGACGACACAGTAAACACCATCACCAAACATCGCAAACATGGCGACTACCGAAACGATTCTCCAGGGCGTCAATGTGTTGGGTTCCATTCAGGAATCCCAGCGCAAGATCTTGACCCCCGATGCCCTCGCTTTCCTCGCCCTGCTGCACCGCTCCTTCAATGCCACTCGCAAGCAGCTGCTTGAGCGCCGCAAGCTCCGTCAGGCCGAGCTTGACCGCGGCGCCCTGCCCGACTTCCTCCCCGAGACCAAGCACATTAGAGAGAACTCCACATGGAAGGGCGCCCCTCCGGCTCCCGGTCTGGTCGACCGTAGAGTCGAGATCACCGGCCCGACCGACCGCAAGATGGTCGTCAACGCCCTGAATTCAGATGTCTGGACTTACATGGCCGATTTTGAGGGTGAGTCTCCAAACGTCGTGATCCGGTGTGACTGTCTCCTTCAAGAGCTGACGGATTTCCTTGCGTAGACTCCAGCGCGCCCACATGGGAGAACATGGTCAACGGCCAGGTCAACCTCTACGACGCCAACCGCCGCCAGGTCGACTTCAAGCAGGGCTCCAAGGAATACAAGCTGCGCACCGACCGCACCCTTCCCACGCTCATCGTCCGCCCCCGCGGCTGGCACCTCGAAGAGAAGCACGTCACTGTCGACGGCGAGCCCATCTCCGGCTCCCTCTTCGACTTTGGCCTCTATTTCTACCACAATGCCCACCAGACCCAAAAGATTGGCATCGGCCCATACTTCTACCTCCCCAAGATGGAGTCTCACCTCGAGGCCCGTCTGTGGAACGACGCCTTCAACCTCGCCCAGGACTACGTCGGCGTCCCCCGCGGCACCATTCGCGGTACCGTCCTCATCGAGACCATTCTCGCTGCCTTTGAGATGGACGAGATTATCTACGAGCTGAGAGATCACTCCTCCGGCCTCAACTGCGGTCGCTGGGATTACATCTTTAGCACCATCAAGAAGTTCAGAAACAACTCCAACTTTGTTCTGCCCGACCGCAGCGCCGTCACTATGACCGTTCCATTCATGGACGCATACGTCAGTGGATTGTCCCTTTACGATTGATACGCAGGACACTTACTTTGCAAACAGGTCAAGCTCCTCATCCAGACGTGCCACAAGAGAGGCGTCCACGCCATGGGTGGCATGGCAGCTCAGATCCCCATTAAGGATGACAAGGCCGCCAACGACAAGGCCATGGAGGGTGTGCGCGCCGACAAGCTACGCGAAGCGCGTGCCGGCCACGATGGGTTCGCTCTTTCTACTGCCTCACCTCGCCGTCGAGTCAGCCACTAACACGGAGTTGCAGAACTTGGGTTGCTCACCCTGCCCTGGCCGCCATTGCTTCTGAAATCTTCAACAAGCACATGCCCACGCCGAACCAGCTCTTCATCCGCCGTGAGGATGTTAAGATTGGCCAGAACGACCTGCTCAACATGAACGTCCCCGGCAGCATCACTGAGGAGGGCATCAAGAAGAACCTCAACATCGGCCTCGGTTACATGGAGGCTTGGATCCGTGGCGTCGGCTGCGTTCCCATCAACTACCTCATGTAAGTGAATACCCGCTCAACTACAGATCATGAGAGGAACCGAGGAACTCACAAGACGCAGGGAGGACGCCGCCACCGCCGAGGTTTCCCGCTCCCAGCTCTGGCAGTGGGTGAAGCACGGCGTCTCGACCGACAAGGGCAAGAAGGTCGATAAGGCATACGCCCTCAAGCTCCTCAAGGAGTCCGCCGACGAGCTCGCCAGCAAGGCACCCAAGGGCAACAAGTACCACCTCGCCGCGCAGTATTTTGCCGGACAGGTCACAGGCGAGGATTACGCCGACTTCCTCACCACGTACGTTTTACCCCCCCTTTGCTACACCCACCGTTTCTCGATCATCGCCCCAAACTTCTGAGGTTTCTTCCCTGTCGGCGATGACTCTTCATTGTGGCTTCCGGTGATTGCATCTACTATCGCATGTACTAACGACTTGACAGGTTGCTCTACGACGAGATCACGGCTGTGGGCAGCGCGCGCCCCGCTTCCAAGTTGTAATTGCCTCGGCACCCATCGCTTGATCGATGTCTGATGTGAAACGGGGGAGGCGAGAATGTATGCGTGATGGATTTTGAAATGATCTGATAGCTGAGAGCCACCCGACTCCGGAAAGGCAATTGGATAGTCGGGGCAAAGGATGTCTCTCGGTTGGACGGAAAGGTCTCGGGGTGAAAGCTTCGTTGGAGAATACTGAGAAAAGCTATTGAAATGGGAATTTGGAGAGAAGCTACTTTTGGTTGTATTGGTTCACGATTGTAAGAATGAATGATATTGTCAGAAACCGTTTCTTTTCTTTGACAACATGCCGCTCCTATCTGGTGGACGTAAGCCACCGCCCTCCATCGCCTACGCGGGCCAAGGTTTCCCGTCTCGAAGTTGCTCATCACCGGGATGGTCGGGGCACACCATAACTTTGGGTTGTGATTGGATATGGCACTCCACCGGTTGTCTTGCTTCTCAAAGAGTTTCCGGGCTCGGAGGCCTGTGAGGCGTAGATGTGGCCATCGTGGCGGAGGACGATGGGCCCGAGGGACTGGTGGGCGTTGCGGCACGGTGGTTCAAAAAAAACCCGGCGGAA